CTTCTTCTCTTCTTCTTCCTTTCCATCTTCATGTTAGTAATTAGATCAGGTTTACAATCTTCCCAGAATAGGCCGTCGCCCGTTGCACAAACCCATGTATCCAATTTGACAGAAGAACCGGCATGCCCATCTCTTCCCTTCACTCCAAGTTGCACAAAGACCCCGCCTTCTCTGGCCAACGCTCTCATCCATTACGCAACCACCAACATAACCCCTCAACAAACCCTCAAGGAGATCTCTGTGTCCGCCAGAGTCCTGGAAAGAAAGTCACCCTGCAACTTCTTGGTCTTCGGTTTGGGCCATGACAGCCTTATGTGGACAGCTCTCAACCATGGAGGTCGCACGGTTTTCCTCGAAGAAGACAAGGCCTGGATCGATCAAATACAGGAGCGGGTGCCCACGTTGGAGGCTTATAACGTGCAGTACGATACCAAGGTCCATCAAGCAGAAGAGCTTATGAAGATAGGAATGGAAGAAGAGTGCAAGACTGTGGGAGACCCCAGATTTTCCAAATGTCAACTTGCTCTCAAAGGCTTTCCAACCGAGATTTATGACATGGAATGGGACTTGATAATGGTGGATGCTCCAACAGGCTACTTCAATGAGGCGCCCGGAAGGATGAGTGCCATCTACACGGCTGGCCTCATGGCTAGGAACAGACAGGAGGGTGACACCGATGTGTTCGTTCATGATGTGGACAGAGTGGTTGAGGACAAATTCTCTATGGCTTTTCTCTGCGAAGGATATCTCAGGAAACAAGAGGGCAGGATTAGGCACTTCACCATTCCAAGTCATAGGACTCGTGGGAGCAGACCTTTCTGCCCGTAGAGACCAGCTTTCTTTCAAATTTCACTTCGGATTATTAGTATTATGATATCTGTCAAAGAGCGTGTTGTTCTTCTCATACAAAACCATTTTGATTTTATTATTGCATACAAAACAAGTTCAAATCTGAGTTGCTTATGGGTTCAGTGATGATTTTAACATGTTCATATAGAAGACTAGAACTTGTTCAAAGTTCAAAATAACGCACTCATATGAAAGACTAGAACTTGTTCGTGACGGGTAGAAAGGAGTTCATATAAAATTTTAGCAGGGTTGCTGGCTGTCTTCTCTTAACAAATCGAATCACCAATTTATCTTTATACTCTACACGGAGCATGCTCAGGCAACACCACCACAAGATTCCATACATGGATTATCATCATTTAAATAATACCATTAGTTCATCGAGAAAACTAAGTTGCAAATAAGATAAATGAATACAACTACAAGTGTTAAAAGTTTCACTTAAAATAGTAGGCATGGGAGGAAGAGTCAAGGCCTCCATAATTTCATTGTGCTGTCTTCACTATAAGTAGCAACTAGATTTCTATGAGGATGATGACTCACACCTATCACGTCCTTCTCATGAACCTAGCAGAAACAAATTAAAAGAATTTGGTATCATTATATTTTCCTTTTTGAGCTTCTTTCAAGTTTAAACAATCTAGCATCCAGTCGTGCAAAGAATATGTAACAATTCAAACCAATAATAAAATAACAAGCCCAAGAAAAAGGAAAGTTATGTCTTGCAAACGTACCAAGGAGGGAGGAATTCCTTTATGCACCAAAAACAATCAACATGGCACCAAGTGGTTTTATGAGTTTCCTATAGCTACATGGGATTCAAACTTGTTTCAACAACTTCAAAGCATTCGATCATCCATCGATTAAGTTTTTTAATGTAATTAATTTCCTTCAATCAAAGAACCTTTCATATATTTTTCCTAAAATTAGGTTCCTTGATGGCTTATTCACGTAGAAGAACATACACAATAGGCTTTACCTACAGCCTTTCCATGTTCTCATTCATTTGTATTGTGAGGAGAGGCATTGGAGGATCAAAACTATACTCTAGGGCAACTGACAGAAAGAGCAACCTAAAGTATACTAACCTACTTAATTATAATTTATAAATTATACATGGGCGAGCCAACTCTGATTTCATCAAAATATTCAAATAAAATACCATAGCCAGATAAAAATGTCATATTGATAAGAAATGTGTTCCAATCTTTGGACAACTGAGAATCGGCCAGGAGAAATCCAAGTAATTGGAGTACAAAACACATACCTTCATGAGATGCTCCAGCTTACCGGATTGGTGGCTGAAGCAATACATATTCCTGCATATGGTAGACAAATTAAAGAACATAGGTTAAAAATAAAAATAAAAATAAATAAATAAATTTGTTGATGAAAAAACTCGCAAATGGAGACCATATATGTGGTTTTAGATGTCAATCTTGATGAAAATTTTGAGCTATAAGTTTTAAAGAAATCGCGATGAAAATATTGATCAATTGTCTATGCAGATGGATATTTTTTTAAAGAATCTTAAATATAAAAATAAGAAAAAATATTTAAATAAACAAATAAACATTTCACCCATTTTAAATAAGTTGAAATTTCTTCTTTATTAATATTAAGTCCACTTCGTTGATATTTTATTTATATTTCATCAATTTTTTAAGAGATAATGGAAATGTTATTCACCATGATGGAAATATCAACATATACTTACGCAAATCGACATAAGAAATTACAATTGGTAAGGTCAAACAATCATATTTCAGTAAAAAGGGTACTAACTAGAATTAGTAACAGTGTATACCCACGTCTGGAAAAAAAAAAAAAAAAATGGAAACTGCACCAAACATGACAAATAGAGGACACAACACAGCTGGATGAATTTAATTTTATGCATCTAAAACATAAGAAAACAGACCTGTCTTCACCAATGCAGTATATCCATTCACCTTTTGGTGATACGCAAGCTGCAACGAAGTCTCCACCTTCTCTTTTACCAGAAGAGAAGCTCTTGACAACCTATATGCAAGCAATAGATTAATAAGCCAAGATAGTAATTGTATTAATTACATTATTCTGCAGAACTTTCTGAAGTGTCATGAGCATCATAATAATTTGTAAAAAAGAAATCTTTTTCATCATATCCCACCTACTCGGAGTTCAGAAAAACTTTCATTGTAACCCATGCAACTACATTTCATGTCAAAGCAATTTGGAAAAAAACAAACCAAAAAGTGATTCAGCTTCAAAGTCATGCAAGCAGATACTTCTACATTTGTTTGCATAAAGGTGTAGGAACGCAAGAGCAAGGAGAGAATATGTTGAAATTATTGAGAACAATCCAGCAATAGCTGCACCAGTTAACTTCAATGCCACACCTAATCATTAGATACTTGAAGACATCCACGTGGAAATATCAAGAGGTTAATTGATATGTCTACCATGACAATCTAGAGAAGAACATCATTTTTTCAAAATGTGGGTAGGATGGTGATGCAATTTGAACAGTGTTTTGAAACCCTCACCGTAGTGTTGATAGGGGCACTTTTTGTGACTACAACCTTTCTATGGTTTTACCAATTGGTTTTCACAGCCTTGTGCCATGTAAATTTTATTTATCAATAAAATAGTCTCTTATCTAGAAAGACAATCGAGGGAAGAAAATGATCTTACTCCTAGCTCAGCAATTAACAAAAGTACCTGCCCTTGCAATGTCATGATGTATATTGACGATGTCTTGTTACAAACAACAATAAGATCGGCATTTTTGGAGAAGATATGAACTGAATTCACAGAGGCATCTCCTCCCTAGGATTCCAAAAAGTGAACAGTGGTGAGCAACACTAAGTTTTTTGTGTTAATATCTCTCATCAATTAAAGCAGTTTCACAAACCCTTAATGGAGGCGGTGGCTTGAACGTATGCAGACAATCGGTTGTCTTCACATCCCAAACCTACAACAAACAACAAATTTACTACGTTAATTGGAACGATCCCAGCCTGCCAACTACACTGCACAGTCAATAGGCATAGAACATGGTCAAAATAATGATCAACCTTGACCGTGCAATCACTAGATGCGGTAATGACACGTGCTCCATCATTAGTAAAGACAGCATCATTCACATATGATGAATGGCCACGGAATTCCTTCAATAGTTTCCCAGACTTTAAGCCATGGATTCTATATCAAATATAACACAAATTAGTTATAACATTAAAAAGGAAGAAGTCGTGACCATCCAAGAATTAATTTGGGAGAAGAAAGTAAAGATGAAGTTTTTTTCTTTTAAAAAAAAGCCAAAAACTAACCACATAATACCATAATTCCCATTAGCATATACCATATAGTAATGTCCACTAGAGCAAACATAGAAAATATTCTCATAGCAACAATCAAGATCTTGAACCAACCTTGCTGTGGTGTCAAAAGATGCACTCAACAACTGGGTTCCATCACGAGAGAAAACAACACTGGTAACTCCCTGAGAATGAGCACGTTCGAGACGCCGCAAGCATTGGCCAGTCCTTACACGCCATACCTAGATCACGACAAAAATATGGATCTCCAATGATTGAAAGTAATAGAATATTGTCCCAATAATAACAAATAGGTTCCTAAGGTATCAAAGACAAGCAGTCAAAGAGTACAAGTTAATGCTAGTACACCAATGTATAATTACTTAGATTACTACATCCCTACCTCATTGTACATGTTATATTCTACTTATTTATTTATTATTATTTTTTTTTTTTGCAAAAAAAAAAAAAAAAAAAAAAAAAAAAAAAAAAAAAAAAAAAAAAAAAAAAAAAAAAAAAAA